GGCCATAAGTTAAGAATGTTAAGTCGTATATTAGTAGCCAGTAGGCTGAATAAAAGCTAATAATAAAAGGAATATGAATATATATGATATGGTTAATTAATAACCATACAGTAGGAATACACATATGTAATAATAATTCATAAATAATCCTTGGAAGTTGCCATTTATTTAATTTTCTTCGGATATAAAAAATACTTCGAATCACCACACAAAAACCTATACCCAAAAATGATTGAATAAATTACAAGTTACTGAATATTTGTAAGTGATATAATAAGTGAGACTATAATTTATGAGCAATAGCTAAGTGGCCTTGAAAAACTTCAATCACTCGAGTAAAAGTGGGTTCATAGGTCAGTTTGACGTATTAAGATCAGATAAAAGTTAGGAGTTAAGGTAAGGTTTATCATCAAGGACTAACATGATCTATAATGTCGAAACACTGTTAAGTCATATGAGTAAAAGAGCTTCGCGACAAAATTCAACAGCTCTTTTGTTATATCTGATTAATTCATTCATAAAGTATAGTCCTACCATATAATTAATGAATAAGAGAAAATCATAAAAAGAGGTACAAACAAAAATGATATTATAGTGGTGGAGAACACAGGTGAAAAAAAACGATTTATATTTAGCACAAAATTACAGAGTTACTTGGTAAAATAGAAATACCATACTACAATGCTTAATTTGCAAAATGTTCAATAATTGTCTCAGACTTCATTGATTTTGCGTTTCCATACAAATTACTTTCTATTTCCGTTCTTGCTTTCCTGATCATCTCAATCTTCTGCTGTCAGACATTACATTCCTGACTCGCGTTATATACTAGTTATGTCAATCTAAATAGCACCCACCACAACATCACTTCATTAAAACATAAATATTGAATATAAAATAAAACGCAAAACATGAAAAAATCTGCCATTAAAATATTTTGTTTTAGAAATCAAATTTTCGATCCAAAAATCTCACTAAGTTACTACAAGAAAAGAAGTTTTAAAAATATCCAGTACAGCAGTAATCAGTATACGATTTATCCAAACAGAAATTTTTACAAAATAGATATTTGAGCATAGAATACTGTTACCTAGAAATTTTCACTAGGTTTAAAATAATCATTAATAACCAAGGTAATAGTGAAAATATCTCTTGAAAATTACAGTGTAAATATATAGCATTATTTCTAGATTACGAAATTATCTTAATTAGACTACCACTCAAAACCAAGAAGTATTGAACAATCGATTCGTACTAGTATGAAACTTAGCATCAATATTAAGAACAAGAACACGAGTCGGGACAATCGAATGTATTTGACAAGAAATTACAGAACTAGTTAGTAAAATCTAACAACCATATAGTAAATGCTCAATTTGCTAAATGTCCATCAGTTGTCTCAAATGACTCAGACTTCCTTTGTTATTGCATTTTCATACAAATTGTGTTATGTTTTCATTCTTTACTGTTCGACCTTCTTGTATCTCTGCTGCCAGACACTCTGTTCACGACTAACATCATATACTACTTATGTCTACATAAGTAGCACACACCACACTACTATACGGAATCCAATCCATGATCTCCAATCTTACACCAACACTTAACACCTAGATCATTTAGATGGCATCCAAGTGTGTTATTGCATAGCTTCAGTCAATTCATAAAACTGCACAACTCTCATTGATTGGCTTCGGTGGATAACTATCTCATATTCGACATAGTTGAACTTCATTTGTTGTAACTTCATTGTAGGATTCAAGAAATGTCAGCTTGAAGCCAGTCACTAATGAGTACATTATTATTTTTATATTAATATAGTGTGGTGGAAATAAAATTTTTAGTTTCTATATCTCGAACTGAATAATATTTTCAATGTTGAAATGATTGACACGTAATATTAAAGCGAATAGGTTAATAGGTCGATTGAAATCGTGAGATCAATAATCACAATAAATGTAGATAACATAGGGTGAGTGAGATATTCATAGAATTACAAATCACACCATATATATATAATGTTCTCTGACAGACCTTGCATGAATTTCAGCACTTAGCATAATAAGACAATTTCTGGGGGTTACACAAATCAATAATTTTCAGGCCTGGTAAGAACGATTTTTCTTTATTAAATGTTTACAGTGTAGAAGTCTGATATTATGTACGTGTAAACAGTTGATAAACACCTAGTAAATATGCGGTTTTTGTTAATATGTTTGTTAAATGAATGCCTTAGATACTACTTATTTGAAATAGTTTGCTGTTATATGTCTAGTTTCTCTCTATATTTCCATTGATTTTATGAAACGACCGTTTCCGTAAATCTCTATAACTGACTCTTGACGCCATTGTGGCTAAGCATTGTAAGATAATACAAGGCGATAATCTCTGAAGCCATATCAGGATTAAGAGACACCTCAGTCAGTTAGTCATAAAGAACATAAAACACGGGATACTTATATATCAGTTCAAATCACCGTGACAAATATCAGATTAGCAGAATAGTAACAGTATCAGTGGTAATAAAAAATATTAGGCATGGACAATATGACTCGAAAAAGAATGAGTTCGTGAAAAAATATATAAGATTACTTCAAATCCCAAAATACAAGGGAAGATAGAAAGTGAGTGGATCTGCTCCAACCACGTCTCACCATTATCGTGAACTTCAACCAGGTAGTGAGGATTACCTACACGGCTTGATCCAATAATCCATGACTTTATGGACTGATGTAAAATCTTGGACATTCCTAAATTTATTGTAACTAATCTCTACACCAGCAAACATGTCTTGAAGGTACACCTCAGAATCTATCTTCTAGAAATCTTGTTTTGAACTTATCATTATTATTATTTATTTTAACACATAAGTATAGGTACAGGGAGGCACCAAATACATATGCGCCACACGAATCTCATTTGATTTGTGTGAGGGCTGTGATACTGCCCGGGTGCCCAAACCGAAGCAGGTGGTTTTCTTAGGGGACCACACCCCGAGCCTTCGACCTGGACGTCTGACTCACAAGGCAGTGGAGCATCGTGAGGAGATGCAGTCCCATGGTAGCCGGTGACCAACGATTGGTTCATACGCCATTTGTTCCTTCAGGATACTGGAGCCCATGTGCACCATTGGTTTGGGGTCCGGTTAAAGCGCCGGACATTCGCTTTTTGTCCTCTCATTTTTGTTAACAACACCCCCCGCCACGAGAAGGCATTGAGTAGGACTTCCCTGGCAGAGGCTATATACGCATGGCCATGTGGGAGCATTTCGAGAGGGAGAGCGGACTCTCCCCACTCTCGGCCGTACCAGGGCATTTGGGGGCTTATTTTTGAACTTATCAATGCCCACATTATCTTATTATTCAAGTCAACCAGTGGTAATTACTTGGTTCGCTACACTCAGAACTTTGGACGATTCTCTACTACTTAATCGATTAAAATATTCAGCATCCATTGGTATCTTACTTCGAAATAGGTATTTCAATTTACTAATAACCTGTAGGATTAGTTGAGCTAAGAAAGAAGATGAATCCTCACTAATATTATTGGATGACTAACATAGTTTATCACAAACTGACTGATAAAATGTGAGGTGTCACATGTCTGACATGTTCTAGACACATTCAATGAAGGTTGATAGCACCCAACAGATATCACTTAATATCCTTAACATGATACCTACGGTACTCACTCCATGCCATACATGATGAAATATTATTAGCCTACGGATGCTTTCTGCCTTCATGTGTCATGTTTTGTTGTCATGAAGTGTTTCAGGACAAACTCTAGTAAGACAAGCATCTTGCACTTAAGATTATGCAAGTTAGGAAGAAACCGAGTCCATTGTATGTATGTACAGGATTGATGAGGCTTGTAAAATAGTTGAAGCAGTCAACATCAAGTAATTTATGTTATATGGCTGAATTAAACATTGATACATGCTAGTCTAGAAACAACAAACTGTAGTTCAATGGGCAAAAATGAGACTTAAGTATTCTAGCATTGTTACGTAAAGCGCTCACAAAACTATGGATTGTTAAAATCCTCAACAAACAGGATTATGCTAGGTGAAAATTCAAATTTAATGAGTTTCGCTTATTTATTATTTTATTTAAACACATAAACATTGGTACAAGGAGGCACCAAACACATATGCGCCACACAAATCATTCGATTCGTGTGAGGACTGTGATACTGCTCGGGTGTCCAAACCGAAGCAAGTGGTTTTCTTAGGGGGCCACAGCCCGAGCCTTTGACCTAAAGGTTTGATCCACAAAGCAGTGGAGCAACATTAGGAGATGCAGGGCCATGGTAGCCAGTGACCAATAATTGGTTCATACACCATTCGTTCATTCAGGATACTGGAGCCCATGTACACCATTGGTTTGGAATCAGGGCTTTCCAACTCCCCCAGGTGGATTCTCTGTGTCCACCAACCCGGTTAAAGCGCCGGACATTCTCTTTTCATCCTCTCAATTTCGTAAGCACCCCCGCCACAGGAAGGCAGTGGTTGTATGCACGTGGCCATGTGAGAGCATTTCGAGAGGGAGAGCTGACTCTTCTCACTCTCGGTGGCACCAGGGCATTTGGGGGCTAGTAGTAAATAACTCCCAGTGAAGTCAGATAGTGAGTTACATCCATGATATAGGTAAATAAAGATAGGGAAAGCTAACTACCCTGATAAATGCCAGAGCTCGATAGGTTGAACTGTTTTGCTAGCTTTATATTTAATTTCGTCCATCTGAACAAGAGCGAAAACACCTTGATTTAAAGATACCCGTCGTTTGAATTCAATTACCTAATATAACACACATACATGATTGACAAACTTTCGACTTATTAATTATTTGCAAAATATCGAAGTGTGTAGATATGTACATATAACCTTGGATGATTATATTTGAACACGTATAAACACACAAAACTAAATAGCCTAAATAAACCACAAACAGAAAATTATCCAGATTACAATATGCTAAGCTAGGATAAAAACCACCAAGTAGCTATAAAAATAAATTCTTTTATTTACAAGATGTTTGTATTTATTTTTGTACAAGGTTAGTAATCAGATTTTAATTTTGCTTGAACAAGCGTAACAAGACGACGAGCAACTTCTGGATGCAATAGACGAGCAATGCGATTACGAGCTTTACTACCGGAAGGGTCATTATTAATACTAGTTTCGAATTCCAGCTGATACTCATCATCATCATCGTTTTGTTGATCAGCTGACCAACTAGCTTCACATGCAGTAAGAACACTTGTTTCCCATACTGGCATTCCATTATGTGTGAGAGCTAAGATGCAATTACGTACACGACAAACTGCAATACGTTCAGCTAATAATTCCGTTTCACTAGTTGTATTTAAGTCTGCTTCAACTGGAGCTGATAAACCAAGACCAATATCCATAGCTCTTGCTGGACCTGTCCAAATATATCCATTACAGCCAAGTATGAGGCCAACAGAAATAACTTCATTAGATATTGTTATAGGACCATCGAGTGTATCGATTCTTGGAATCGCTAGACGATGACGATGTATTTTTTGACGTTTAATAAGACTAGGAGGAATACGCAGAAGACAGCCACCTCCCAGTTTGCCGGTCCTGGTACCCGGCATATGAAGCTGTAATGTTCCATCTTTGTAAACTTCATGAACTTCAGCGACAATAAGGTCACCCTCCTGAAAAAACGCAAAAATGTATCGAGAAATACAAACGTAAAAAAATCAATACTATATATATATATATATATATATATATATATATATAGTAGTGCTACTAAACTAGATTCTAGTCGAGTGTCTCTAGCTTCAAATAAACCATAAAATGTTTAAATCCCGAATCGGGACAATGTTAAACACTGCTCTAAAAATTTGATGCTTTGTGTTTGTATATTTGCTGAAAAAATGAAATTTTCGGATTTAACGTAGAAAACTTTCTAAGATAAGAACGACTAATGAACTGTTGTAAACACTAAGGACATACGTAGTATGCCTAACAACTTTAATTACAGTATTTTAAGTAATAAGGATATAACAACAGCCACTATCCAATCAGTCATCATTGTAATTGTCGAATTGAAAGTACTAGCTTTTAGCAAGCATAGTTTAGGTTAATAAGCGAAATGCATACGCTAGGAAATTGCTAAGATTTCTAGGAAAGACTGACACATTTTAGAACCGACATTCCAGTGGTCATCTGCATACCAATAGAATCCAGGTTCATTGCCTTTACAGATAAAAATAGTCGAATCGATGGGATAAAATTATACGTCAAAAGGATTTAAATGAAACTATTTACCTTAAAAACTTCCCCATAATCAACAATTATAAGGTAAGCTCATACCTTCATAAAAGAACGCATAGCCCGTTCATCATCTTCAGATTTCCGACGAAGTTCACCACCAGGTAGTTTCACATTAGCTAAGGCTAGATTGGCTAGGAGAGCAGAGTTGACATCAACACGCCATCGACGTTGTTCAACCTTAAATAACCAAGTGAGGGAAAATGGTATATACTTTATTTCACATGTCATACTCGTAAGTACATTAAAAAGCCTGCGAAATAGTGATTATCCATGACGATAATACACATCACATAGACAGCAATTTCATAGCTAATGAACTACATACAAGAATAGGGAACCAATTAAAATTATCACACTAAAACTTACAGAAACTTAAAAAGTAGATAATCTACCCGTTTCTTAGACAAACCGAAAATTCGATGGAAACGTCCCAAAAATTTATTTAGCTACAGTATATTATTGCATATCTATTAATTTCCAGAAAAATGTGAAACATTTACTCACTCCTTGCTGTACTGTACACTTTAAATTTGTTTTTCATATATTAATTTTTTACCCCCATCGTTTCAAATTTTAACTACTCGTATTTTATGCTAATGATTCTTTCTAGTACTTCTTAACATGTCAGTAGTATTTTGTAATCATAAACAAACTGTTTACAATTAAGGCTATCACAAAAAAATTTACTGGTATCACAGAATCGTGTTGAGCTAACACTGGCATAAAGACATTAGAGAATCATTTGTAGTTTTTACTAGTTTAGAAGCTTTGAATTAAACTTACTTGACATTTACTGAACGTAATGTTTATTTCTAGCCTGAGTAGGAATATGGACTTTTTGAAATGTTAAGTAGTACCTACAAAAATGGAGGATTTGAGATATATTCCACGAGACAAATTAGAATTTACTGATATGAGCAAAGTGACTTAAAACTAGCTACTTAAGATCTCACTCAATTACTTAATAATGGGTAATCAGAACAATGAAACTAGTGGATCCCTTTCAGTTAACTAACATAAAAAACAGACGCATCTGGTGTGACGCTGATCGATTGTTGAGCTTCACAATAGTAAGTTGCTTTAATGAACGAAGCAAAGATATATCTATGGATAACTTCAACAAAGTCCTGAAACTGACCTCTACAATGCGGCCCACCACAGTATCTCCAACATTACCGAAGTACCGAGCCTTAGGTGGCTCTACATATACGAGTTTATTAACTATCCTAACACGCCCAGTTAGAGAAGTGTGTATATTGCCTGCCTGAATCCCTGGATCTCCACTAACAGATGCCAAAGTGATTGGATTAACTGTGGAAGACAAATCTTCATTAATATTCGTAGATGAAACATCTACACTTCTATAGGTTCCATGACCGGTTATAAGATTTGCGACAGAAGAAAAAACGATTTCTCCAGGAACAACGGCAGAACCCTGCTGAATGCTTGAACCCTCTGGTTGACCCTGAGAAACATAATCAACAGAATGTCTTTCAGGAGCAGCGATAGCCGGATACATGTAGATTGGCATCTCTTTGGCGACAAGTTTTCGATTCAGACTAGAAGCGGATCGGAACACAGCTTTAGTGTGTGTAGCGTACAAACATCTTTTGCCTCTGCTGCACGACCTTCAAATCTATTGTAAAAATGTCAGAACGAATATTACTTCAGTTTTATGTACATTACATTGGAACGAGAATAAAAGACTGTTATTCCAGCGTTTTTTACGAGTAAATGAATTCACAGGAGGAATAACTGATTATTCAACATTTATATTAATCTTCACTCTAAGATTTTATAAGCCAGATATGCCACAAAGATTTGGAGTTTAACAACGTTTTTACTAGTAACAACTTAATAATTGGGGCATGTCAATCAAGTCAAATCAGAAGTCAGAAGTGAAAGAGTTCGAATATATATTTGAAAGGCTATCGGCATGTTGAGGAATGTTCGGTCCGATTTGGCTACCAATTGAAAGGGATGCGTAGTACGGTGTGCCCGCTCGTGAGCTGGTGCAGATGAGTGACCAAGCACTTTCAGATAGGTAATTCTGGTAAAACTAATGCGGTTATCATCAAATATCGGAGACTTACATAACTATTTATTTTAAGGTATTTATTTAACGCTATAAAGCAAAGTGACTTAGGTTAATCCTCATGATTTGTTGTGCGATGAAGATCCAATCTTGCCTTGGGCATATCAACAAAAAGTCTTGATACTGCATGCTCTGGCTGAGAATTATAAGAATTTGCATTTAATAAGAGAAACGAAACTACAGGCAAACGATATATCTACGGTTTTCAAACATTTAACAATCCCATTCCGGACTATCAGTCCTAAGTGAAGAAGAAGAATAGACATGATAGAACCAATCCCGTTAGGCACTACACGATAAGCGAACTGTAACAACTGAGATTGAATGGCTAAGAGTTGACCGAAAAGATCTAAGTAAACGTTAGGTCATTAAAGTTCAAGTACTTATTCAATTCTCCATCTTGAATAGGGGTTATCTATCCTATTGTTTTACACTGATCGTTGAAAAGTTTTTTGCTTGAGAAAATTAGCTTCACGCTCCGCTGTCCCACGATCCAAATACAGATCCACTTGATACTAACCTAGTTTATTCTATGATTAGAAGAGGTGTTATATCACCTCACAATCCACAGCAGGATGAATGAAATAGCTTCAGACGTCTATTGTCATGAGAAGGGTCAGTAAAACAAAGTGTCTGTTGAGTCCTCCGCCTCTGAACTTTAAATAAACTAATCGACATCCACCAACATGCCTGTGCTATGGTTTGGCTGAGGCTCTGTGGTATTTCACTGGTTCTCAACTAAAACCATTAGAAATTTTATTAAAACATTTATAGCAGTCATGTAAACCATCTGGTCGACCGACTAGTAACAATTTATCTTTTCTCACTATCATTTCTGATCCCTTTTGCCGACACAGACAGAAAACTCGGATGTTCTAGTAGTCTTGTGCTCAAAGTCACAATATGTACGAGTGTGCACGCTTAGATGTCATCCGTAAGTAAACGAAGGGAGGAATTTTCCCACTCCTCGTAGGACAACCACGTCTAGCAAGAATGAAGATGATACGTCACAGGCATCTCTGCTCTTCACATATTTCAATCACAATAACTCAGAGTCCACTTTCACTACTTTCCTCCTATTACAAAAAATCATCTACACAGTTTGTAACCTCATGATTGATGCTCAAATCATCAACTTTTACTTTAATATTAGGGTGTAAGACCCAAAATCTAGTTAAAATTTATTTACAGAGATATTTCTATCTTTCACAGCAGTCCAATTTTTCATACAAATGAGGTGCGTTAAGATCAATCTATGCTAATCCCACATAACCTATTCTAAATTCTGAACAGGCCATTTTATCTATTCCTCTTGAGTCACGTTTTGACCTTGTTAATTCTTCACTTATCAAACTTGACTGCTTTTATATGCGCATGGGTGTACACCTCATCCTACTCATCATACGTCCTTGGCTTATTTTTGTGTGTCAATAAATATCGATCAACGCTTGATTAAATGGAGCTAGATTACACACCTTCTTCACCAAGTCATTTCTCTTCGCTCCTTTCATTATCTATCCAGATCAACAAGTGTACAAAATATATGTATTAAAAAATCCATTCTCGTATTTAACTCATTCGATTCCGTTACTTACTAACGCGATTTGAGTCAATTATTACATACGACGATAGTCAATATGTGTGTTTCAATGACAACCAATCACACAATTTAACTGGAGTTAGATCTCGGACCACTAAAGACTAACCATTTCAACGATCTATTATGTTATTCCCATTCACTTTTAGGTAGACCTGTGTTTTTTGTTAGTAATTGACTGAACAATTTTATGTCTTTGTACTAAATGAAGTAATTTACGTCCTAGAAACAGATTATTTTGATTGAGTATATCTATAGTTACCTTTAGAAACTGTAGTTCCACTGGGATTAATTATGACATTAAGGGGACTCTTCGTAAAGTTCTTCCATAGGCAGATCAGATCTTGCAGCCACGATGTTGGATTGCAAATAATCTTTAAAAGAGCATTTGCAAGACATATGACGTAATCAGCAGATAGTACTTTTCACTTCAAAATCTTTCGTATTTTTGTACATTTGCATTAGCCTTTAACTGTTATTACACAAAAAATAAGCGACTGTAGTTAAAAGTGTGGTGATCACTTTGGTACATATACATTACACCAAAACTAAAGCTCCAGTGTTAATTGCATGAACGCCATTTTTCACTCAGGTTTTCTCTTGAAAGGCTTGAAACAGATGAAACTGAGGTTTATGCTATTATGGTCTTTAATTTTTTGAAGAAAAATTGTGTATTAACACTTAAAAGATAGTTAAACAATCTGAGGACAACAAAATTTGGGATGAAGAAACAAATATACACGTTTTGACGTGGAAGCGAGTCTGCCAGATATGGTACAACAATAATAAAAATGGCTGCGTAGCAACAAAGGGTTACGGCAAAAGATGAACAATAAACCTTTCGGCTTCAGATGATTCGTCAGGAAAGCTGATAGTCAGCTGACAAGTAATTTGTTTTAGGCTCGTGAACTTTAAGTGAGTGTCCTCGTAAATTCTCTGTTTTGTAAGACAAGAAAAATGAGGACATTTCAGGTACAAATTTACCACTAAGTAATCTGAAAATTGTAATCAAGTCACATCTAGTTATTTGATACGATAACGGGAATTGATTTAGCTGGTTGATCATCATACAGGAGCTTCGCTATTCTGGGAATCAGCTTAGTTGCTGTTCTCTGAACCATTTCCAAAGGCTCGCTGTCCTTTTTAAGCAGAGGCTAGCCGCTTGTGTGCATTACTCAAATTCAGGACACACGAACACGAACGTTTTAGCATTGACACAACTATGGCCCCAAATACTGACTACAGGGTTCTAAAACCTTTGGCGGATATTGCATAGCAGTGTGCAGTAGTTTTTAGGTTTTGACTAATGATGACTCCTAAGTCATTGTGTATCTGTACAACAGGTAGCTCAGTGTTATTCAGATAATTTCTTCAGGTCATTTCGGAGTTTTAAGAAACCACCTTTACTTCGTATCGCTCCCCATATCATGACATCGTCAGCATATAACAAGAATGATCGAGATAGGAGGCGAGGAAGCTCATTTACATATAAGAGGAATAATACCGGGCCCAAAACTGTACCTTGAGGCACCCCGCTAAGCACAGTTCCCAAGCTAGACAACTTGGAGTTCACCCGTACTCTATGTTGGCGCTCAAATAGGAGGCCTTTCATCCAAATCAATAGATTGCCTCCAACTTCGACATTTATTAACTTAAATAACGGCCGGTTTTGAGGAACGTTGTCAAAAGCTTTGCTGAAGTCCATGTATGCCACGTCCATAGGTAACTTTTGGTCACTTAGAAAGCACCAGCTTTCATGAGCCACTAATAGGTTAGTGAGACAGATATAACACACTCTAAAACCATGCTGCTTTTCCGAAAGTATCCGGTTTTCATCGAGATACTCAAACACCTCCTTCTGAATAATGTTTTCTAAAATTTTAACAACTACGCCAGTTAGGCTAACGGTTCGGTAACTCTCAGGTTTATGTTTCATACCTGATTTGAAGACAGGACTTACTATGGTGCTCTTCCAGTCATTTGGTAAACGACCCTGGGTACGGATAGATTAAAGCACATACTTAAAGGGTTTGTAACAAATCCAGCTAACTCCTTTAGTAACCTAGAATGCAGTTCAGCGCATCCAGTGAATTTGTTCATGTCCAGCTTATTTCGAAGACGGAAGATATCAAGTACTTTAATGCTGGCGCTGCCCAACATGTGTGTGGGGATTTGTATGGACTGACCGGAAGGGCTTTTTATGGCATACACATTGCTAAAGTAGTTTGAGAATACATGAGCTTTACTAAAACCGTCCTCCACTAATGATGAGGGATTACTGTCTCCTTTTTGTCCTTTGGCTTATACAAATACAAGCGTTTAGAACATTCTATGGATTCCTTGACAATTTTCTATTCGTGAAACCTTCTAGACTTACAGCGGGTCGAGACACAGGTACTCCAGAATTCTCGATACTGAGATTTTGTCTCATCAGTCTCCAGTAACCTGAATCCATCCCACACTTTTCTCCTCCTATTGAGAAGGATGCGTACCTCCCTACTGAACCATGGTGGGGTGTTTCTTGGCCCCCTTGGTGTGGTCAAGGGGATGTGGGGTGCAGTAATCTTTAAGCACAAATTTCAAAATACATCCCAAGCGGTTTCATTTTGAGACCCTGGCTCTATTTTCCAATCTACTGACGATGCTGGATGTATAATATCTTGTGTATTTGCTTTCCAACTGTTAGGTCTGGATTGAGTTGACATGAGCTCGTGTTTCGCAGTTGTATGGAAGCCAAAGTTTAGAACTGCATGATCACCTCACCTAGGGGTGGCACGTAACCTAGGTTCGTGATGTCGTTCTCATAATGGGTCAATATATGGTCTAGTAATGATGATCCAGAGTCCGAAATATACCTATTCGCTTCTTCTACATGTTGTACTAGGGCACATGTAATAACCGCATCAACTACTTCCTGCCCGAAGGAATTTTCTGCCAATT